GTTTGAAAAATAATTTATTTTAATCGTCACTTTTTGAAAGTTTCTTTTGTATTTCCTTTTCTCTCTTCCATATGTGTACTGTCAGATGTTTATTGCAAAAGAAGGAAATAAAGTAGTGAAAGAAAGTAGGTCATAAAAAAACGGATAAATGTTTTTGTTACTCTATTCTTCCTTTGAATGATGATGATTCTGAAACACTTGAAAGTGATTAGAACATTTAATTTGAAACCTTTGATTCAGGAAAAGACGGTATTGACACTTACAAAGATTTCCTTTTCATGATAATATCGCCTATCTTTGAAGTTTAGATAGCCTTCAAGTCTAAAAAAATAAGTTATCCTATTGAAAAACTAAATATATGTTAAAAAAAGTGGAAAAAAAATATTTTATTTATTTACTCTAAAAATAGTTCTTCTTTGCTCTCGAATACTCGATATAAATTCGAGGTATTCTAAAGGTATTCGACAACTAAAGATGTACTAAGTTGACATGGCAGAAAGAAACATTAAACGACATTTTCCTTTCTCTAGTTGCTATGGCGTGATGCATTTATTCCACTCAATAAAACACAAAAAAAAAAAGAAAAAAGAAGTAAACAGGGAGGTGTGGCGCAATAAAAATATTAAAAGGAAATAAAAACGTGTTTTTTATTTTATGGGCCTATGACATGAGACGTGTACTGGATCATATTTAAAATAATCATAGAAATAAAAGATAAGCTTTCCAGTAGATTGTATCTCATCATACATAACAGTAGAAAAGGACAAAAAATGATTAAATAGCAGTCATTTTTTGTCAATAAACTAAATCTAATCAATAAAATTGAAAAGTGTCGTAAGAAAACTATGCTTTGTTAAAAAAACATTACACTGATTAAAAGTAATTTGTAAAAATTCAAAAATATTTTTAACTAATAAACTTTGTTGAAGAAATAATAAATATTTTTGAGACAATTGTAAATAAAATTTGAGAAAAGAGACAAGACAAATTCAAGATGATCATATAAAACATAATAATTTAAATATAAAATATTGATCAAATTTTTTGCAAAAAAGAAGTTTTAAGTGATGATTAAACATTAATATCCTGTATTCTTCTTATTAGTACATATTTGCACATCTGACATCAAAAAATAAAGAAGATATACCTTTTCCTTTTTTTTTTTTGTTTTTGTTTTGTTTCTTTTTCTTTTTACATATAACAACACCATAGGAAATCTAAAGCATTATTGACCGAGGAACAGTTTCGTTGTCTAACGGTACATTGTCATTTATCAATATTAAAAAAAAATCATTCTCAATTCTATGTTAACAGTTATTGGATCATGTGCGTCATCAAATATAAAAAAGGAAGAAGGAGAAAAAAAAAAGAAGCGAGAGACAATAGTTTTCTCTCATTCTTTATAAGACTGAATACATGAGTATTGTAGAGCAAAAAAAAATAAAAAAAAACAACACATTATTATTCTTTCAAAAACCTTCATATTTTTTACGTCTGCTTTGTATACATATAAATATATAGAGAGAGAAAGTAATATCGACGTACATATATATCTGTAGTTTTTTAATCGAAACAACAATGTGAAAATTTAACAATATGTTTTAATATTCAGTTTTTAATAAAACGATTTTTCATTACAAATTATGAAAATAGAAAATCAACAAAATAATAATACCACAATGACACAAAATGATAAAACATATGATCAATACTTGAATTCAACATTAACACCAACAAATAGTACAGCAAATTTGAATGGTACTAAAAGATGTGTATTATCAACAAAACTATCAAGACAAAATTCACTAGCCAATCGAAATAATTATCGTTTACATTCAAGACAAAGTTTAAATACGTCAAATGATTTTCTAATACATCATACATCATACAGAGGGATACCAGTGGTAATAAGGGCAATTACTAAATTTTTTCAGGCAACAAAAATTATGGAAGATGAGATTATGATACCCTCAAAATTGAGAGATACACCGGTAGAAGGTAGGTATCAGAGATGTAAACGTATTTAAAAAAAAACGCTATAATCAATCAATCAATCACTTTAACTGTAGCAAAAAAAACAAAAAAAAACGAAGTAAATATAAAAAATAATTCTGTAAGTGTGCAAAACCTCTTTCAGTATTCTGACTTGCAATGAAAACACTTTTAACGATATCCATAAGTCTTTTATTTCAATTGATCACAAGAAAACTATTTATGTCTCTTTTCTCATTCTTATTATCGAATGTATCACTTCAAAATTATTCTTTTTAAATAGAAAACCTGTTAGATAGCAGTATTCAACCAAATAATTGGCATGAAGTATTTAAATTCGTCCAAGACATTCGCAATCAATTACAATGTAGTAGACCATTTTCAGATAATAATCATCAAGATAATAATATTATTCATAATGATAATTATGTTCCACCATCTTTAATATCTGATAATGAAAATGGATATTTAACTAATTTTTCATCAGCATCATCGACAACATCAGAAATATCGTTTGAAGGTGATAATAATTATGCAATGATTAATACATCATCATTTGAAGCAATTACAGAGGAATTAAAATATCATTATTATTCTTTAATTGATACATTAGATATTCTAACATTTCTAGCCAATCGTGTAACAGAAAAATATCGTGAAGATGGAACATTCAAATGATGCAAAATTGTACAATATATATGGTTAATTAGATTAGTCTCACTTTTCTTTTTTGTCTTTCTCTCTCTGTCTCTCTCTTATTCTGTTGATAATCAAATAAATTGTTACATGCGATTATATTCTGATAAAATGCTGTTCTCAGCTAATGTCTTAAACAATGTCACTTAACACTCATTATTCATTTTCAGGCTTCAAGTCATTTTTTTCTATTTGTTACATAAAAGAAAAATAAATATCTATTTCAAATAAAAGAAGCTTTTTATTGTCAAAATGTCAATATCTACATTTATTATATTTTTATCAAAAAATTAAAAACAAATTACATACATATATGAACAACGCTAGATATTGTTCAAAAAGTTAAAAAAATAGGGTAAGTGACAGATAAAAGAGATCAACAGAATGGCCTTTTCAAAAATTGAAAGCAGAATAATTCAGATACTTTTGCGTTTCAGCAGTAAAACAAAAGAACA